CCAAGCCTCTTAATTTGGGCGGATTTCCTTTTGATTTGAACTTAAATCTGATTGAATGCAAGAGTCCTTTTTCTTGTCAATGTTTTCAAGAGTCTGGACTCTAGATCCAATGTGGTTTTTTTTTTCCCAGTGCAATGGTGAAATAACACCGGAATGATCACCATGTTCTTTCATAAATTTTATACTTACCGAGATACAAAGTTTCTACACTTCAGATGACTTCATTGTTATGGAGCAGAATAAGGCACTTCGAAAGGAAAAAAACGCGCCTTTCTGTGCCTAAGTGGCAAGGCGTCGATGCGCTTGAAATAACACCGTCTTGAGAGCACCGTTTTCGACATCGCGCCTTGTCAGATGGCCAATTCTCAATCGGGATCGATTTATCGTGAATTAGAATAACATTTCAGAGGAATCCTAATTAGAGTTTGATCATCCCAGTGCCTCCCTCGCTCCCTCATATTGAATTTCACATTTTCGCGGCCCCTTCAAGTTCACGCCCGGCCCGGACTCGCCTCACAATGGAATTAGTCAATAAGAGAAGTCGGACGAAATCGATCTGGAAACTTTGAAAGCTTATATTTACGGAAATATAAAACAGAGAGGTTTCAGCGCGGTTTCATTGGTTTTTTTGGTGAAACTTTCTCTCAGAATGTCCCCTTGAAATTTAATTTGTGACGCGATAAACATCAAAATTTGAAATTCTATCCAAAAATCTCATGTCCGACCTCTTCTATCAGCTCATTCCACTGTGCGCCTGTGATTGGTGGGTAGAGGGAAACCCGGACCAATCATCGGGGCGGAATAGGCATGTTGACTCAGAATGCTACTCAGGATAAAAATGAAAGCATAGAATGTTGACGATAACAAATCCGTTGAGATTTGGAGAACATTTTAGACAGCAACTTATGAGTGAAAAAAGTGGACTTCGGCTCGTTGATGGTGGTTTGGAAGAATGCCAAGTTCCTTCTCATTGGGAACATTCTTTATGTCATCATTTTCATTTGAATTATTTGTAGGGTATTCTTCTTCTGTTAATCAACATAAAAAATCACTTCGGTCGGAAAATGATGATTTATTGAGTGTCGTCAGTTTGTCTCTTTCTTTTTATTGCTAAGAGAACAGCATTAAACCATAGAAGGGAACCAATAGATAAGTTGGTTTCAACTTTGCAATAAAGAACTATACTATTTCTTAGTCATCCATTGAAGCACCTCCCTTCATAATAAAACTTTATGGCCCTTATGTTGTTTCTGAAATGAGACAGAAATGTTTCTTATCACAACATTTAGTCCAGCCGATCTCCTCGCGATTGCTTGGAAGAGAATGAATTCACGAAGATGACCTAAGTTCAGATTGTCGTGTAGTTCATGGATACCGCTGACAAACCAATTGTTGAAGAGACTCTGACTCTCCAAAACAACTTTTGGTTCCCTGTAGTTGAACATAGCTCATCTTATGAAGAATTGATGAAATCGTTGATTAGTATCTTCTGTTTATTGCCAAAAGAGCAGTATTAAACGATAGAGAGGAGGCAATTGATAAGTTGGATTCATTTTGCAGTAAAGAGCTGCTACTTTTGAGCTATCCATAGAAGCACCTTCCTGCTCAAAAAAAAATGAAATAAAAATAAATTGACATTTTTATAATAATAAATTAGAATACAAGTGAATACCTAACACCTCGGCTATTTATTCAACTCATCATACATCTCATGAATATGAATTTTTTTTCGTATGGTTTATTGGTTTATGGTTTATGGTTTATGGTTTATGGATCAATCACAAATTTTCGGGGAAATGTTCAATTTTTTTTCTTGCGGATAGAGAATTGTGTTCGCACTTTGAGCTAAGTAGTCCGAAAATTTCAAGGAAAAATATTCATAGCTTTCTTAAGAAGTAACTACTTTCTGAGAAAAAATGTGGCAACATTTTAATGCTTATACGGCACTTTTCCCTAGCACGGCAGTACATTACTACCGTGCTAAGGAGAAACACCATATTAACATTCGAGAGTTGTCAAACCTCCGGTAAAATAATTATTTTTGAAGAAAGTTATGAATATATATTTTCTTGAAATTTTCAGACTTTTTAGATCAAATTACGAACGAAATCCTCTGAAAAATCGGAAGAGAAATATTTACAAATTTTCCTAGAAATTCGTAATTTGTCAGGGGAAATTTGGCAACGCTTGATGGCTCACACGGCGTTTTTCCCTCGTATGGCAGTAACGTAGTTAGACTGATTTCGGTTAAATCCGTCCGGTTAACGCTCGTATAGGAGCGGCGCTCGCTGGGTTCGAGTGCGAACAATCGGACATAGGGTGAACACAATCGCACTGCTAATTAGCTCGAGGTATGGCGTCCCACTGATTGGCCCGCGGCTGGCCTCGATCGGAAGATGGGCCCGCGAGTGAGTCGTAGCGTTTTAGTGCCAATTTTCGCACCCAAGTACCAACCCAATTCATGCACTTAGCGGCCGACCAATTACATCGCGCTTATTTGCTTGCACTAGTTCGCGCTTCACTTTCGATGGGTCCACCTTTTTTAGGCATTCGACGAGTGCGGAGCCCGAGCTCAACCTTTTAAACCCTTTTCCCGCGCTTTGAATGTGACCTCGATCTTCGCGTCTGGAATTGACTTCGTTTTGATTTTAAGCTCGCCCTTTGTTTTGTTTTTGTTTTTTTCTCGGGGAGGATAGTGCGATTGGCTAATCAGGTAACCTTTTGTATTTTAACCCTCATATTCTACCCAAAAATTTATTGGTATTGGTGACTGAAGCATGATTTTCCTTCGGATTTTCAAGTAGGTTTTCGTCCACAACTGACCTCTGGAGGTTGCCATTTGGACGTATTTCTGCCAAGCGGAACTATGTGCATCGTGACGTGAGACCTGTTATGCTTATATTCTTATGGGCCTCAGGGCTCATGTCTTAATACACATAGTTCCGTTTGGCAGAAATACGTCCAGTAATGCTAAATACCTTCGTTTAGGAAACCTCACCCCTTCACCGCGATAATAGAGCACCCCTTCCTCTCGACAAAGGGAAATTACGAAACATAGTATCTCGATTTGCAACGTTAATGCTTTCTTGTCAAATTTCAATTCTTTGAAGGTGACTGATCATCACTATTGCACACAATGTCCTCTGAATTGACTTTGCCTTTTCAAAAATATTCTTTTGAAACTGCATAAAATTAATATGTTAAATAATAAGTCTACTATGCAGGGGTGGATATTGAGAGCTAAGGAACAGTACTGCCTATTTGACAATTTTCGCAAAAATGAGTTAGCGACTTCGCCGCATTGTGCAGTATAAAATACGCAAGCTAATGATTGATTTTTAGTTTTTATTTCTGTAGGGAAGCGCTGTGATGATGTTGTAATGTATGAAAAAATTGCAAATCTAACCCCAATATTACAAAAATGTCAAATTGTCAGTTCGCAGATATTGTTCGTTTGCAATCAATATGCATGGCAATCCCAATGGAAGCACGTGTGTTCGTGATTTCACTATCCATAGAGGGCCTATCGTTGACAATTTAATTTTTCCTTTACGTATTGCCAAAAATCCATCTATTTTCGGGTCGAAGCATTGCACTGTTACCATTCCGGCGATGCGTGCGAAATCGAAAGTCAGGCCCGGCGAATTATTAACGATTCCATCCCGCGAGCTCCGAAGAATCGCCGCGCCTCAAAGACGCCCGTTTACGCGGTTTCACGAGCGGCGTGACATTTATGACGCATACAAGAGCGTATTCACGCACGTCTCATGAACATGAACAATTTCGCTCGACAGGCTCCCCGCCCGGGGCCGCCTCTTTAAAGGCCCCGGAACATAAATCAAAAAGTATTTTTAATTTGTCCTGACTCTCTCACCACGTTGGCAGCGGGGAAGGTGGCAGAGGGCAGATACCGCCGAAGGAACACCGGATTTTCTATTCTTTTCTCCCGGGTTTCCTCCTTTTTCTCGCCGCGACTCGCCGTGACCGACGCGTCCATTCCGATGCCAACAATGTAAGGGCACGTAAATGTCATGCAGCGGTACTTACAGTGTTCTTTCTTCTCCTAGTCTCTCGGGTAACTTTTTTTTCTCGTCGTGTTCTCGAAGGTAGTCGAGTTATTTTTGGCGCCTAATTCAAAATGCGAAGCTCCGTTTACCCTTCCCTCTTCTCCACCTGACCCCCCCCCCCGTCACCCGTTCCTCGTCAAAAATTTCTGGATCGGCTTGCAAAGTGTCGAAGTAAGCGGGCCGCTCCTTTTCTCGTTTTCTGGTTGCCAAAACTAACCGCGCGTCGGGAATGTTTCGCACTATTCTGTAGCGGAAATCGCGCTGGATGCAAAGGCTTCGGGTATTTTTAACTCCTCACAATCCTGACATTGTAGAACCTGCCGAGTCTTTTCATGCACCTGCTGCAACAATTTGAGAAGGTCATATGTGATGATATGCACAGAGTCCTATGACGATACGACAAAGCGACGGTGAAACCACCAGACCACGTGTCTCGTTTGCGGTGTATAAAGGGGATAAATTCAAAGTCATTTTTTGAAATTTTCTTAGAGTTTTCATCGCACGAGGGGGCAAATTCACGGAAGTTTTCAAGAATTGACGTTGAGTAGTTTCCTATTTAAAAATTAAAGTATGGCAGAAAGTCTGCAACATTGCAAATCGAGATTCGTGGTCTGGTAGTTCCACCGTCGATATTACCACGTGTATTACCACCACAAGGCTTACCACTTGTGTGGTATTTGAATTACTGATATAGTAGTACTGAAGTACCGATTCTGATATTGAGCCTTACAGGCGGTTCATTCAAAATCACTTAAAGCATTATTATTCGATTTGAATTATGTCTTCAAATTCTGAACCAGCAGTGTCGTGAGTCGTGAGAGTACTACACGGCGATCAGCAGTGAAAACCATTGCCCTTTAGGTTCCAGATAGATTTTTGATAATATTACAATACTGATGATTGATGACAATATATTTTGGTTTGATGTTTCAGATGTGACTGGGCAGACACAATTCGTTGATGCTGCATGTCATCCGGAGACGAGCTTCAAGCGCCGCAAGCAGTTGAGGAAACGCAGGAGGCGAGAAGGGGTAAGAAGCTATATTCTTTAAAAATTATTTTTTTTTTACTAGAACTAATAACCATACGGCATCTGGCAAGATTCAAAACTCCCGGAAAAATGTCCAAGTATATTTCCAAGGATAGAAGCCGTATTGACCCTACTTTAAAGCAACTAAAAGAAAAGGAAAACTTGTCAACTGAAGCACTCAATGTTGTATTTTCTCTTTTGCTGAGGAGAGGTAGTATTTATTTAAGAAGTGGTAAATTTCTCACTCTACTCAGTGACACAGGCAGTAAAAATTCGTGTACTAAGAGATGAACGTCCCTAAAAAAAGTATAGGAATAAACGAGCGTTCCTAGGAATTAAGTCATGTGACCTTCGAGCAGTGGTTCCAAATTGCAAAACACCCCAAAGCACTCTTATCTATCACATGCTAACTGTAGAAGGCTTCATAAATATTTATGATGAGCATTACTTTATTTTAGTCGCGAAAATTCTGTTTAAATCAACTCATACTTTCGATGGGGAGGGGCAAAGAAACATTTTCAAATCCCACAGTAAAATGAAGAGTTAAAATTGATTAGTTCCAGTGACAATTGATAATGAATTCAGAATTTCAGCAAAAAGCGTCTATGAGGAGCATTAATCAAGGAGGGTTTTGTTGTTTAAAAAAAAAAAAAAAAAAAAAAATCGTGGTAATTTACTTTACAGTGTGACACCCATTTTGGGTTGAAAGTCTCGTTACAACCTAAGATGCAAATTTTCTTGCAGGAGAACAATAACCAAAATTTTGACGGTTTAATGTCTCAATGCGGAAGTATACTTTATGAGGGGGGGGGGTGAGGTATAGAGAATATCCTCGAGAAGATAGAGCTTGGGAGCCTTCCTGATCAGTTTTTACACATCTTCAACTCTTAGCTGTAAAATTTAACGAGAGTCACCGGGGCATCTAAAGACCTCAAAAATTGAGAACTATCCGGGAAGATATTGAAAGATGTCGTAGATGTGACTTCAGCTCTTGTCAGGTAGCCCTTAGTTTTAAAGAGAGGGAACGCGAGCTCCCATATGGCCGGATAGTAGCATCACTCTCAGATGTCACGATTGCTCAAGGAGGAAAGCAGGAATAATCCACAGCGCGTGGCGTGCGGAGCGGTGACTGTCTCTCACTGTCAGTTTGCCTTCAGTTTTCCGTGTAGGCAAACCGCGCTCCCCCGTGACCGAATAGTCGTATCACTCTCAGGCGTCACGATTGCTCGAGAATGAAACCAGAAAAATTCAGCAAACGTCTAACCCAGGCGTTTGGCGTGCGGAGCGGTGACTTTACCTCTTCTTTTCTTTTCTTTTTATTGGGGAGATATTATGCTGTTTATCACTTTGAAATCCCTCTAACGGACAATTTATATTCCCAAATTGTTTTATATATTTGCATGTCCAGTTATTTGTATGATTAAGAAATGATCGACACATATAAATGAATGCAAATAATTGCTTCGAGCATATAATTAAAATTGATTCACGTAAATGTAGTTTTTTTTTTTTTTTTTTTTTTGCATAAGCAGGATCGGGCCCCTAAATTTTGCCTTGGTTGGGCCTGGATCTTTCGTGCAAGTACCATTTCCCACTCAGAATGAGTTTCACAGAGATTCCAGTCATTTTGTCTGTCATTCTATTCTCCTCTATTTGTTTCTTATTTTTGTGAAGTGAGCCGCTTCCATCGCGCTCTTTGACGTTCTGCGACACCCAGCTGCCAAAGTCCCCTATTCTCAGCCCTCCATGGAGTTGGCACTCTCTCATTTCCTCTAAAATCCCCTATTGCCACCCTATTCTTATTTCTACCTGTATTAAATTATCATCGGGGCCCAGGGGCAGCAGGCTCCGAGTCCTGGTTGGCGATCGCAACCCCGCCACACAGTCAGTGGCTATTTTGCAAGTTGGCAACAATGTTTTTCCTCCATTTAAATCCATTCAAAATATCGATTTTAGATAAGGCAAGCTGCATCACCAAGAATTGATTGTTTTACATATGTTTAAATGGTGGAAAATTATTGTTGCCAACTTTCAAGAATCGCCTTTGCACGCGGGCGAGTCCGAGTCTGGCCCTGCAGGTTCTGGAGCAGAATATCTTGATATCAACAACATCCGTACGTGAGAAGTAACACAAATGCGCTTTATTATGAGGAATACTTAACAATTCAAGAATTCCCTGCAGCCTGATTGTTGAAATTTTGTGTTTGTCGGGTGGACATGGATGACAAAAGTTAAATGACGCTAAAATGGCTATGTCTTATCGTTGCTTTGTCGTGCCTTGTCGATTGGAATGGACGAAATACTGTCTGAAACTCAAGAAGTGCCTTCAGTTTGTCGTCCATTCCAATTGACAAAACACGACAAAGCAGCGATAAGACAAAATCACGCCTCGCCATTTAACTTGTGTCATCCATGTTCACCCGACAAACACAAAATGTCAACAATCAGGCAGCTGTTTTGATAATTGGTTTTTGGTACAAAGATTGTCACTGCAAGCTCTGTTCCATAAAACTGAATATCTTTTTATAGAGGATCTAATGATGTGTGTTGTATTTCAGATTGCGGACGGCGGCTCGGAATCTAGTTGCGAGGACCACTGCTACCAGTCGGGCGCCAGCGTCGAGCTGACCAACGACTCGAAGACCGCCTCCGACTCGGGCGTCAACACGCACAACAGCGGCGGCTCCACCCCCGTCAACAGCCTCCCACCGTACCCGTCCTCGGAGCTGGTCAGCGGCTTCGACAAGCTCGGCTCCCCGTCGCCCCACCCCGACGACCCCGAGACCCCCGCCCCCGCCCCCGAGACCCAAGCCCCCAGCCCACCACCAGCGCCCCCCAGCGCCGATGTCTGCGCCACCCACCCCCATGTTCCTGTCGAAGACGTGACGAGTAGCATTTCGACCGCTCAAAGTGTGGACACTCCGCCCAGCGGCGGAGCCACGTCGGAGGGCGCCACGCTCGCTGTCCTCGACGCGGTCAACGACAATAAGGAGAATTGTGATGTTAATATATGCTCAAAGCAGGAAGCCTCCAGTGTTAGTTGTAATTCTAAGATATTATCAAAAGCTAATCTGAGCGTCGTCGAGAGCAACAGTATTCGCGCGTGTGAGAGCGCGCCGCCCGCCGACGACCAGACGTCCAATCCGAAAGCAGAGAAGGGCTCCAACAAGCAGAGCAAGGCGAAATCCGCCCAAGCGCCCAGCCCGAAGAACTCGAAGAAATCTAAATCTAAATCCAAATCGAAAACCCAGCAAGCGCCCGGCTCGAAACAATCCAAGAACAACCATTCGGAAGAGCCTGAAGTCGAGAATGCTAGCGCTGAGACCAACGAGCGAACGTCGACCCCAACGTCGAAGACCAGCAAGAAGCTGAAGAAGGGCCAGGAGAGGAAGTCCAAAGAGAGCATCACCCCCGAGAAGCAAGTCGTCGATGTAAACAAAGAGTCCGAGTCGAAACAGGACAAGGAAAAAAGTCCTCGCCCAGATTGCGAGCTCAACGGTAAAGACACCGATGTCAAATCGGAGGTAGAAGGTACAGGTGCTGAAAAGAATGTGATCGAAGCTATTTCCGAGTTTCACCCATCTGAGAGTCAGTGTTGTCTAAGCGAGGTCTCAGTTGTCGATAATGCGGAGCCCAAAACAGAGATAGAACTCTGCGTTGATGTTGCTGGTTCTGAAGATGAAGTCTCGCCGAGCGAGAAGGCTCCGGATGTGCCCGATAGTAGAGTAGAGGTCGGAGGCTGTGAAGAGGGCGCCATGGAGCCGAAAGCGCCCAACGCTGCTCCCACGGACGAGCAGCGGTTCTTGGCGACGTTCGTCAATCTGGAGGAGATAGGCGAGACCGTCGACGGCGAGGAAGTCGGGATCTCGAGATTCTCCTCCTGTAGGGATGTCGAGCCCAAGAGACCGCCCAGACGCAAGAAGAGCGAGAAGCGACTCGCGGAGAATGTCGCCTCGCAGGTCCTCGATGAGGTCCTGGCGGAGGCTGCTGAGAAAGTGTCGGAGGTGCAGAACACACCCCCGGGGAAGATCACGGAAGCGGTGAGCAAGTGGCTTACTGAAAATGGTGGTGTCTTACCGCCGTTACCACAGAGTCAAGATGACGATTGGGAGGAAGAAGATGAGGAACTAGAAGAGGAATCAATAGCTACCGATCAAAAAAACTCGGAAAGCAACCCTTTTCCTGCGTCATTGCCTGAGCGTGACGGGTCCCCCGAAGGGGGCGGGAAAAGGGTTGCTACCCCGAAAATCGGTGCCGAATCCGACGACGAGACAGTCACAACTATCGATGAGAAATCCAAGCTGCTGGAACTAGGCGACGACAGCGGTTGCAGCCTCCGGAACAGGTCGGGCGAGAAACCGCCTGGGGAGGCTGCGCCGGATCAAACTGATACTTCCAATCATGAAAACAAGACTGATCTTAAAGTACATCATTCTTCTTCTTTCCCTTGTGGTATTTGTTGTAATATTCTTTGATACTTACAAATTTTTATATATGCTTTCCTTTTAATACCTATCCTTTCATTCGAAGTGCACTTTTTTTCGTTTTTTATACAAAAGCCGAGCAGCTTTGTAACTTTTAAACCAGATTGTTTCCTTTTTACTTAATTGTTAAGGATGTTTATTTTAGGGACCTCAAGTTGTTGACCCCTCATTTGATTAAGCTAAGATGATTTTTTTCTCAAGTTGAAATGTTGTTTGTTGTTTATTTTCCCTGCGGCGCAAACCTGTGAATCTTGTGATGAGTTCTTTAATTCTATCCTCTTAAAGTGTACCGTGAAGTACCGTGCAGGGTATCTTTATTTACTTTTTTCATTTAAAAATAAACTATGTCCTAAGCTGCGTTATAATTCCTTCAGCCCTAGCTTTTATAAATCCTATCATTGACATTTTCAAGCAAATTTAATGTCATTTTTATTAATGTGCATTTTTTTGAAAATGCCTTTTTATTTTAATAGGAAAAGACAGAGGTAAATATTGTCTAATTTTTTTTTTCAAACGCTGATTCATGAGAACGGGAAGCGAACGCATTGAAGCGCTTTGGCTATTGGAGGCTTACCTGGGGTTTCGATTTTATTTCATGAATTTGTTTGTTTGTTGAAAGGATGTACTTTAAACGTAACCAGTTTATTTTTTCTAGAGGGTATAACTTTTTAGTTTGAATCTCTGACTAATGAAAGTAAAAACTTTCGTTTTAACCATGAATATATTCGCTTTCGTATCTTGTTCTTTTGTCGTTAGCCAACTACATAAGTTTAAACTAACTTAAAATAAAGGCAATTCAAGGATCCAAACATTTGAACCTCACCCACCTCTTTTTTCAGGGGTGGAAGAAAGAGGTCTCTAGGAGAGAGGGGTCCAGGTCTTAGAAAAAGGTGCTCTAGTCTTGTAATAGGTGATTTACAAGAACTGTTATTTAAGCAATACTTTATTGTGATAACTATTGTTTGACGTGATTTAAACTGTTGAGCAAGTTACAGAACTTTAGAATTATGGTCTTTGAATCCGGCATGACTTTTTTAGATGGTAAATACTATAACTTTAGGCGTAAAGTTACCAAATACCCTCATGCCAGGATTTGGCTCTTTCTTTCATTTTGAACTTATTATTTGACTCGTGCCCTCAAGCTGCCTTCGTTCAGAGATCATAATCCTTTAAAGTCCTAACTGCTCATGCAAGGATTCGCAAAATCCGCTCAACGCAAGTTTTATTCAGTACATATTGTCTGATAAAAATCATAAACTACTCAGTTTTACAATGATAGCCATTGAATAAGTCTTGATAATTATTTTAAAAGGTGGCTTTGAATTGAATTGAATTTGAAAATTACTAAAGAATACGACAGGTGGTCAAAGCTGGCTCTAACCTAGTTTTTGACATATTGCGGAGTCGATATCTACACCTTGATTTAAAGTTTTTCTTCAAGCCAACTAAAAATTTACCTCTGAGCATAATGTAATACATTACCTACACATTTGCCTTTTGTTTTGATTTGCTGCTTAGGGAGTATCAGTGCCTGAATTTCAAATTTGTAATTTCTTTTTAGCGCTTCGATCGAACTTACAAATTCTTCTCATAATTCAATTTTATTTCTTTTTCCTTTTTGCCTGCACTATTATGAGCCATTCTTGGGATTTTCTACAAATTTAGTCTTTGCTATACCTGCTCACATCCCTCTCTTATCATCTCATGAGCAGCTTTATTATAACTGCATGTTGCCATGAGAAAAAAAAGTTTGGTCAATATCAATTATAAAGCTCATTATAAGTTTAACATGAAAATGCAAAAGGAAAAATAATAAAAAATAGATCTGAAAACTTCCAATTCTATTGTTTTTACTTGTCTCGAAAGAAAAGAACCCTTCAACAAACTAATTACTCTTTTTCTGCACTCAACTTATTTACCCTGTCTTTTTCTCGTCTCTCCTGTTTGTCTGTTCTCTTTTTCAAAATTAGTTTGTAAAGTGACTTATGAATCAAAACTTTTCTTTGCTAATCAAAATAATATCAGTTTGATCAAACAAAGTATTGATAATGGTAATGGCATTATTAATTAATCATTGACACGAACAAAGGAAATAAACAATAAGAAATAATAATGACTTGCTGTGATAGGATTTGTTTTGAAAGAAGTGCAACGTGCAACCGTTGATTTTATTAAATTTTACCTGTAAATAAAGAAATTGTATGATCTTAAAGATACTTATATATTTATTAATCCTGATTTACTATCGTGTATATATGGCAGTAGCAATTAGGCATGTCCTAACTCCTCAAAAGGCATAGCCTTTTCATCGGGTTTTCACTTTTGATCATCCACTCATTTTTTAATTATATGATTGATGGCTGCGATTGAAACGAGTGATGCATGTGTCGCAGGCAATTGACAATCGCCGGCAATTCACAAACCAGTGGTGAATAAATATAAGAAATCATAAGATTCCAAAAGAAAAGAACAAGATCAGAGTGCTGATTATGTTGCCTACTTTTCCATCCTTAAAAACATGGCAGGAATATGCACACTCAGAAGAGCGTGTATTGAACTGCGTGACATTAGTTGGGTTGAGATCGGAGAGGCAACTAAACTAACATCGTGACAAAGCGTAGGGTATCACAAAAAATGAAGGCGCTTCAAGCCGAGCGCTTACTTTTGAGGACGATAACCCTTAAAAATTGCATCATGCCGGTGCGCATTATTGTGATTTACTGAAACAACGTGTGGACCGCTTGCCAATTGCCAGCGCTTTCTAATTGCCTGCGACACATGTAGAACCAAGAAGTAAGAAAAAAGAACCGAGAAAAACGTGAGGATGTACTTTGCAATCGTGTATTATATTCTGTTTAATTCTAAATGCAAATAAAAATAATTTACCCAGCTTTTTGTAAAATTGCAAACTTATGTGAATGGTTGCTACCTATTAATAGCGTAATAAGAGCAAGATACCTATCGATTTTTATGAACCTTTCGCTTAATTAGGTAAATTACTTGACTGTCAAAGTTTTGCAATTCCTAATATCCTGTATACTTTTCTTGAGTATTTTTCGTTTCTTGTAGAGTCGACAAAAGAAGTTTATCTTCATTCGTTGCTTTAAAATCAAACTATCTCAGTAAACTTAATCCATTATGAATACAATCCTTGGATATTCTGCTCATTTCATATTTTTTAGAAATAATCATACTTAACAATTCTATTGACGTTTGATGTATGAATAAGTTGATTCTCAGTTGATCACCTTCTAAGTGTATGAATACTAGAAAGATTCTTAAATTTACATTTTGAACAGGGAATATAGAACATGCGCGTGTGATCATAAATCTCATATTCAAACGTCTGATCATCAAGTTATTCAGCTCTTAGAAACCGCTGGATACCTAGATATTATTTGAAGTGTATTTGTCTTATAAAATTAGTCAATTCAAATTTCTAGAACATTTTGTAGCATGTTTTTGTGGCTTTAACTTTTTTCAGTGACTCAAAAAGTAGATATACCATATTTTTCACCTTATGCAGGCAGAACAGACAGGTATCTGAACCTCTTTGGAACTGTACCTCACATCAACGTATTTGAAAAGACGCATGTCTTGCCTGTTTAGTACTTTAGTCTACAAAGAAGGAATTTCTGAATGAATTTACCGCCTATTGACCGTAGGGGACTGTAGTGGGCAGTGCCAGAAAAAAACTAAACCATTACGAAAAATATTGTTCCCGCATTTGCAACTATCACTGTACCATTTAAAAGTTGGTTCACGGTTTGCCGAGAAATCTAGAACTTTTCTGTGTGTGACCAAACGTAAACATTTCTTGCGTTCCAAATTCATCTTGAAATGTGATCGCCAGAAGTTCAATCAGACTCAATGCAAAGATAAGTTCCGAATGTTCAACTTTTTTGAGGTTTCTCCCCGTTTCCACGATCGAATTCCTGTTAAATATAGGCATGTCCAAGGATGTTGTGGGTACCAAAAACCTAGGAAATATCTCAGCAACCCATTGGCTAGATTTTAAATTCTACAGCTCCCTGGAGAGACATCATGTAGGAAAATATAGGCGAATCAACTGAAAATAGCCACCCCCGAACCAGCACAGATTTTCTTCAACACCCCAAGAACGAGAGAGTACAAGTATAGTTTGACGTCTTGAAGAGTAGGAGGTATTTGTATACAAAGGGAGTTTTAGAGATACACAGATCTACCAAGACATTTTTGTGGACCATACACTGTTTATGTTTTTCCTTTATTTTTTTTAACAAAAAAAAATTCTCTTTACAGATGAATTAGCGAGTTATCATTTTAAACGTATGCTTCATTACACAATGCCGTCAAACTAAGCAGATTTTTTCACTTCGTATATTTTAATACAAAGAACAGTGAAATGGCAAGGCATTTACAAACACGTGCGCGATCTGCGCACAGGTTTGTATACATGGTTTTTACATGCGAACTTTGGAGTGTTAAGAGCACGTGAATCCAAAGCTTCCAGAAAATCATCCATTGGAGAAATGAAAATTTATGTTAAAGTTAAAGTAAACAGTACCGCAGATCCATGAAACTGTGTGGTTAAGTGAAAGATAATGACTACAAGAATGGTTAGATGAAAGATAATGACTCAATTAATCAATCAGAAATCGAAGAACTCATGCTCACTGCTCATACAGGTAGTGATAAGTTTCATTAAACGGAATTTTTGAAACACGTTGTTTTGGAAATTTCAAGTGCTCTCACTTGAACGTCACAGGTACTTTTTTTTTTAAAAAAAAATTCCTTAATTTCATAAACTACTCTGAGCAATTATTCGCGGGTACTTCCCAAACGTCAGTTTATTTTTCTGTCAACTCTGTTACATGAACATTTAATTGTTAATCTTGTTGAAATTATATGTTGCTCTGTTAAATCGAAAACTCATGTTAAATTTTTATATCCTGTAAAAACAGATCATCATGGTTGTACCTGTATGTTTGCTTTTTAATTAAATTGGATAAAATTAAAGTTTTATTCGCATGTAATTTTTTACTGAAACATTTTGTTTCCACCAGCAACCTAAATTTGTTTTAAAAAAAAAAACTCATTGATCTGATGTTTGATCTATAAATTAACAATGATAGAAGAGGAACTGAAGTTCGGGTCGAAGTTTTGGGCAAAATCTATCTGCATGGAAAGTTGTCTACATGCCAAATTATGTTGATATTTTTCCTCAGATTTTGCCAGGGACCATCCGGGCTGAGATGCCGTAGACTCCTTTGAATTCAATCTGAAGCTCTTGTTTGAATTAGTTTTTTAAGCGGTTGATTCGCAGGCTACTATAGTGACGATTATGTTTAGGGAGTAAGGCACTATATAATGAGCACTTTTTGAATTTTTCGAACGTTTCACTCGAATATATTTATAAACCCCCAAGTATAAGACATTGAATAAACCTATCAAATAGAGTCTTTCAAAACACCAGATACTGAACTCTTCACCTTACTTATTTGTATTTTCTTTTGCAAAAAGGGAATGAACCCAATGAAAAGGAATTACATACGCGGTTTTCCTCTGAGTCTACTTTCTGGGGGTTCAATTGCGGCTTCGTGTTACGTATTGCCTTTGTTAAAATTCGTGACACAAATTAATGGGGGAAAGAAGGAAAGGAAGAAAAATACATTATTGAGAACTGCATACTTTCTTTTACTTTTTGTTTTGCGTTGTGTCGTAAAAATGTACAAAGTAGAAAGGTTTTAATCGCAGAAGCTCTTGAAAGTAGCTCTATCATGAACTACAAAAACTCCGAGATTTCAAACTTGGTAGTAACCTAAACTACCTACAGACGCAGTGCCAATAACGATACTCTTAATTCTCTGCCTTACATTGTCCTAATTTTTAATGGTAAGATGAAATACAAAAATACTCAAAACACGATTAAAATATTTATAATAAGAAGAGAAAAAGAAAACAAATTGGGGTTGAGGGTAAGGCCCCCTCCTTGATTATCAGTAGGAAAGTTTAGGCTTTAGGAACTACATTTCAACATTCAAAACTTAGAAGTTGGGCTCTAAAGCGATTTGGAGATGCTACTTATGAAAGTTTTTACTTTCGTAATTTTCAAATTTATTCAAACTTAATAGGACGGAAATTTCGCTTTCAATTCAAATGATGGCTAATTTCAGTTCTCATCACTTAATTTTCTCTACGTTCAACTTTTGTAAAAGAGAACTAAATTTCATGACAAATCAATCCTACAGTCACATGTAAGAATATTCTCGACAGACTCTTAAGTCAGGATGTTGCTTTTAAAAGCCTCTGTTGAAAAATTACACATGCGAGGAGATTGAGCGTCTGATATCTTTAGAGCGATTCTAGTTAAATATTTCTAGTTATCATAGCTCAAACTGTGAGTTATGCACACAGAAAAAAAAATATTTAACACGTAACACTAACTTTTTCAGTCTAAGTAACTGCAGTTTCCAGTCAAGGAAACAGAACTTCAGTTCAGGTAATCGTAGTTTTTGCAAAGATTACGGTTATTTAAACCGGAGATTGTTTCCTACGACTGAAAATCTTGGTGGCATGGACCAAAAACTTCAGTGTTCCATATGAACTGAAGTTCATTCATTGGAAACGAAGTATTTTATACTCCCTGTGTGCAGTTTTACTGTTGAAATCGCATCAACGAATAATTCATATTGATCCACTATCTGTCTAAAAGATAATGCATTCTTCTAGATGATACAGTGCACTCAGTTTCCTTATCGGTGCCATACATGCCAGGCAATAAAAATTGAACGATGACAGGAGATCATTTGTGTACAGTTTTGAAACTGCTATGATTTTTCTTTTGTTGTATTGCCACGAAATATGCCGCCGAAAGAATACCAATGCCCATTGTAAGTTGGATTTTCTTCCTGCTTAACATTGAGATCAGCTTTTTTGCTACCTTCTGTAAGGAACCATTCTTTGTTGGCAATCAGGAATTTATGCCAGCTCTCTGAAAAATTAAGAAACTTACATTTATTACTTGCAGAATGAAACGAAGGAAAGACTAGGATGATTCTCGATCAAAACTCGATCGAATCCTGAATCCAAGAATCATCTTAGTTTTTTTTTTTTTTATCTTTCTCTGGACCGCAGGATCTATGGAGGAGAGAGAAAGTTGGAATGTGATTCAAAATCCATGTCCTTTTTATGACACAGCGCTGCAAAATTAAGCATATGGATGAAACAATATATTTTTTCTTCCCCTCTTTTGTGGAGCAGAGTGCAAAGGAAGAGATATTTTTTATCCTCCTTCTTTTCTCTTGCGTTTAAGTCAACTTGATTATAGCTGATATTATGTGAATGAACAAGGCGGTAAAATTTCATCGTAGAATACGATTGAAATTGGTATTCTGACAGACTTGGAGCCCCTTCATTTTCTAGCAAACTTTATACGCATTACAGAGCAAATACTTTACCCGCTCAACCTATAGCTTGTGCTTGAGTGCACGCCGTTGTGCGTGCATGTATAACGTCGCTCCTTTGACGTGAGGGCTTGTCTCGATTTCCACATGAGCCTCAAAAAAACATAGATTTCTATGTAAAACAGGGCTCAAGTGGAAATTAAGATACGCCCTTACGTCAAAGGAACGACGATATTTGCGATGCTAAATTGTTGGCCAGCGCACGCATGCTCGAATTGCTTGAGATTTCATTGATCTGCGACGAAATTCAGCTTTTCGGGATGGCTAAAGTAAAAAATCATTATTTGCTCATTCCAAAATCTACGATTACGTTCCATGCTATCCAACCGACTGATTCCGGATAACTGAAGAAAATTCACGAAAATTGTCGAGAAGAACTCTCAGTAGTTTGTCGGAATGTCGACGGTGTAAGTTGGCAATCACATAACTCGGTTTGCGACGTCGTCGCAGACTTCCTGTCATACTTTATTTTTTAAACCGATAACTACTCAACGGCAATTCTTTAAAACTGCCGTGATTCTTCTTGTCCGTGCGAAGAAAATTCTGCATAAACTTCAAGGGATGGTGTCAATTTGTTCTCCTTTAAAAAAATAACATAGAAGCGGAGATTTTCAGACACCGCAAATGAGATATGTGATTGCGGACTTGCGCCGTCGATGTGTACTTAGTGCAAAACCCTTAATAAATATCACAATATGATTCAGACATTGTCAATGTTTATAAGAACCAAGGAAAATTAGTGTTTAGAGAGAGAAACCTTTGTATATTATGTTTGTCTCATTTTTCTAGATCTGAAATAATAAAACAACACTTGGAGCTTATAGTATAGATGCACCATCGTTTGAGAAACTCACCGTTTAAATCTTTAACAGAGGGTCCATCACCGCCCAGCTCCACGGGTAGGACACGCTTTGGAACATAGTCGTGTAATTCCTCGATTGTTCCGTGTTGATGGACCTTAAAAACAATGAGCCGCAGAAAAAAAACATGAATTTATCGCCAAAATTCCATTCATTACTTTCTTTTATTTCTATTTAAAAATATTGTACTTCAAAGAAAAATTTATACTTGGCTAATTGTATAACACATCATTATTCAATCATTTTTGAGAAGTAATCACACCAAGGCCAAATTTACCTCCTTGCCGCCCATGGATCGCCTGTATTTTGCCGCTCCCCTCTCATTCGTTTTGAAATATGATATACAAACCATCAAGTAAACGTTTAGTAGTAACCATAAGACGCGTTTACTCGTGTTGGGCGCATTTTTTGTGAAAGCCCTGTCAACACTAGGCAAAGGTCACGGAACTTTGCGGAAAAGTTAAGTTCCGTAAACCTATCTCTGTGTGGACCAGGTCTTTCATTTACAAGAAATGAACGAAAAAAATATGAAAGAATGAACATGAATGTGGTTTATTCTAATTTCCGCCACGGCGCCACGCGCAATGCGTGAAGTATCCCTACAGTCTTGTAGGCGCTGTGCGTCTTACGCCAAGGCTGCTGACCGCACTGTTTTTGACGTAATGCGTGAAGTATTCATGCAGTCTTGTAGGCACTATGAGTTTCACGCCAACCGCTGCTGACCGCACTACGTTTGACGCAATGCGTGAAGTATTCATGGAGTCTTGTAGGCGCAATAATATGGAGTCTTGTGATATGTGTTTCATGCTGACTGGCGCGCCGATGAGGGCCTCTCCTTTTCATCTCAAGTCCTCGTCATCATTGCGCTCTCTGCGCCGCGCCGCTCTAGGCCAAATTGCGTGTTTGGTTTCTCTCTCAGCTAAACTAATGAAAGACGCTGTCACTTGTATCACCGAAAGACGAAACAATTAGACATTTCTATACTTTAACTCTCAGGAAATGAGAGATTTTGTCGCCTTTTCTCGTTTGTAATTTTTTTCTGAATCCGATTTTTTTTATACCTACATTTGTTAAAATTGCAACATTTGCCGCTCCCTTAATTTGCCGCCATTGGCCGCGGCCCATGTGGCCACCCCCTAAATCCGGCCCTGAATCACACTCAAAGGAGTCTATTTAAAAGCAGTCAAAAGTGTCTTATATTTTCCTTTATCTGTATATCCTTCCGCTTCACTAACGTTCTCACTTTTCAGTCAAAATTTCACGCGAAACTCTTTTGCTCCGAAAGAAGGACTTTGAATTAAGGGTTGTCAAATATCAAAATTCCTTGTATATGTAAGCCTTCTGTAATAGATTTGTCCTCCAAGTTTCGACTGAAAGTAAGATTTAATGGATTGGAGGCCAGAGTTCCCAATAACTCTTAAAAAAAGTAGGGGATGGATCAGCACACCGGCAGGTGTTGCAACGTTGCAACAAATACATATTTATCAGGAACCCGCACACGAACATTTGTTAAAACTTTAGATGCTATTTTTTTTTTTATTTTATTAAAACCTCCCATTGTATGCAGTTAATTTATAACCTAGTTTTGGCAATATTGTATTCTGGCCCCTTAAATTCATTAAGTATGAGCGTGCTTTGATTTGTAGCGACTGTTAAACATATGGGTTTAAAAATGGGGACGCCATAGTGTTGCCTTGCAAAAATCGCTGCTGGAAAAGCATGAATCATCAGAACGGACACACCTATCCTGATTTATCCAACGATAGAGTATAAGATTATTTGTCCATTGAAATTTCATTTAGAGATCTAACATAGATTGAGACATTAATGGACTTACGCGTTCCTGTAGTTGCTTTGGTAAAAATCGTGTTAGTAACGACACAAAAGTCCCGTAAAAAGATGGCATATTAACTAAGTGTATATCCTGAACTCTTAGTGGAGCGGCATCCTGGAAAAAATGCAAAATATGATTCTGAGAACTTGAGAGGCATTTTTAAAACCATTGTACATTTACATGGGTAAATAATACAATGATAACTTGATAATGATTCTATCAAGCCAGTTGATATTGTTCAAATTTAGTTAGTCAAAAACAAAAAAGGAACTCACATTTCAGTGGCGCAGATGGATACCATTAAAAGAAGTGCAAGTATAAGCTTTCTGAAGTATGTTTCTTCTTCAAAATTCCACGTAAGTCATAATGAGCTTCATGAAAATTACGAAAAGTAACTACCATTCAAAGATATAAGGGTTTTTATTTGCATTACTTACGGAACATTTGAATTTCCCGCTCAAATGAAAAACTAGTTTACCTGAATCAAAATCGCGAACTACAACGGTGTTGCTAAAACCGTTGCTTCTCATTAATTGGGGTCCCTCCTCCACTCTGTGCTGCTCTCCGCTCTGTGCTCTTCTCCAAAGAGTAAATAACGTGCAGTAACTGAATTAAAGCATCGAGATTGAGGTAGAGTTAAATGTGTGATTCAGTTCAAGTAGATTATTGCTTTTTCTATGACCGGGAAGTTTGAATTTACGCATCGAAAAAAGGTAATGTCTTGGTTAGGAATTACTGTCGATGACTTTTGTTTTACAAATCGTGTTCCACATAAAATTTTGATGAAAAAATTTGCAATTGAATGTTGAAGAACATTTTTATGAGTGCTAGGCACTCCGTTTTGAACACAGGCTTTAGAAAAATAGTAACTCGGGAATCAAAAGTCACGTACTCAATCCACTTTTAAGATCGTCTCGGAATTGAACAATGACGCCAATTATTTCCGCAAAAATATACATTGATTCAAAATTACTCTGTCGAAGGTAACATGTTATTTAACATACTTTATACTTCAGTCCTGCATAAATTAATATAAAAGTGTTCAAGGTATTACCAGGCTGCAATAAAGGTAGTCTTTCATATAAGTAACGCTTAGTTGTCCAAGATGCCTGAGAGACATTTTTGAGCAATCGGCCACCGCTATCATTCCAATGGCCGAATCCTGAGTCAATCCATAATCAACCATCATGAGATTTCTGCGAATTAGACTGAGGAATGAGAATTTATGGGGATCCCCATCTAATAAGCCGACTGTAATCACACGATAGCCCTCTGGGGTCAGTTCTGGCATCGGAATGGAATACCTGTGGAATAATTAGATATAGCTGATATAGAAAAAGCAGATTCAGATGACTGCATAAACAAATGAGGAATGACAAAAAATGAAAGAAAATATATTCATGCCCTGAACTGGATGGTTAGCTCCAAAAGAAGAGGAACGGAGTTAAACTGCAACTTTACGTCTTGTCAGTAACTACGACTCTTTGTTTTTCCATGGTGTTCTGAAATAATATTCGTAAACGCAACACTGTAGGTACATTGGCGTATCCCAGACAAAAAGAGTAACTACATTTGGATTGCATTATGCTAAGATTGTGCAACTTCATCCTTTGCAATAAAATTGCGGAAATTATGAAAAACTCTGAAATTTAGATGGTAATTTTTGTCTTAAATTTACAGTTTTTAGCAAGTAAAATAGAAACTATTAAGGGATAATCGGGGTTTTCCTCCAAGACAAAAGAAGTTGCACAATCTTAGCAATATTGCAATGTTAGTGGTTCCTTTTTGCAAAATGCAATCCTTTTTCAACATTGCAATGCATACTCATAAATCGTATCTTTGCCAGGAAACTGCTTAGGATTTTGAACTTAATGTCTCACATATTTTTTTTTCGACTATACGCATAAAACGGTAAAATGTTGGACGTAATTGCGCAAGAACATAATTTTGAATAATTGAATAATTGTTCAAGTCAGTTTGCAACTTTGGAATGGAAGTATATTCCCTGGTCTGGCTGGAAAACGGCGATTCAAGATAGGAACGTTCTTTCATATAAAAATAGAGTTCTAATAATCGCTTACACAACTTCAAATGACTGTGCGATATCCGGCGCAGACGGGTCTCTGCCTTCGAAGAAATGCTTTTTCTCTCCTCGAACACAGAAATAGCGATCCATCATCGTTTTCGTTTTCTGGACATCGTATTTACAACCAAATAAAAAGTTCTCGATGAATTTATCATCTGCAAAAAGGGGGGACAAATCAGTAAGTAAGGTGGAAAATGAGGAGATTCGATTTGCCAGAGGTGCTCTGGCAGGATCGCCATACCAGTGTAGCGGTTGGGTATAACGCAGAGCGCTTGGAAGCGCTATAAAAGTGGCATGTTAGGTAAGAAAAATATAAATATATTTCGTTTCCATTTATTTCCAGCTTCCCTTGGAAAATAACTACAAAATTCTTTTAAACTTTATCTTTGGGTGCTTCTCTCACAATGATAGGAAATGCGATTTTTAATTGTATTCATGGAATTACAGGAAAAAATTGAAATTGCTGATTTAGCAGTTTTTTAGTTAAAAAAAGTCTCCGACATGCCTCAATGTAAATTTTACAATTAAAAAATGCGAATTTCACCACCTCCGTTGTTAAATTAGCTTTCCCTTATTGTAAAATAATGTACATTGAAACAAGTCGTACGTATTTTTCAACAATTTAATTGTTAAATCAGCAATCCATTTTTTTCTGTGTATGCATGTGTTATTTTCTGCCTACGATCCTTTGATCAACAGGAAATATGCCTTGAAGAATTTCTCTCCTTAGAGAAGTGAAAATTCAGGGGAAAATAAACGGTTTAGCATAGAATGAAATCTGGATGGAGTCCAATACGTCAAATTTTGAGCGTTTGGTTGCGCGTACACCTCGCTGCAGCACAATAAAAGCACAAAATGTAAAAGAAAAATCATAGTGCTTGCGCAATCATTAAATTTGACACGGAACCACCAATATTTAAAAAACACACGGTATATTATTATTCTCCTTTGATAAATTGATGCAAATTTTTTTTCCATCAATTTAAATGAGAATAATCAATGCAGAGTGTGCAAACATCTCAAAATCATGAGTTAAAAAACGCTGACTATGCGAGTGTAAATATTAAAGCCTAACAGAGCGGAGCGGCGTGCTGCCAGCGCGAGAGGCTCACTGGCGCCTACAAACCTAAGTGAATACTTCACGCATTGCACAGTGCTTGAAGTATCCCTTTAGGTTTGTAGGCGCCAATGCGTGTGTTCCGCTGGCTGCCCGCCCGCCGTGCGGCGGCGCCTGAAGCAACTATTTCACAACAGAGGTGTTGCACAGTATTATACGAAATTGAACGTACGAGGTCTGTTAGATTAGAAACCGGATTTTGCTCATAACTAGCCCACAGTGTGTCCAAATTACGTTTTCTTGAGCTTTTCTGATAGCTGAAAATATATTTAAGAACGCTACGTTCACAAATTTGAAACATCCTAATTAGCATCGTTGGTATGTGGCTTGAAGTAAGGCAACCTCAAGGGTGTTTTGCGATTTTTATGTTTGACCGAACTTGTCTCTCTTTTTTCGGTCTTGCACTACATTTTTCATCCCACCTTCATATCGTAGCCGCACACTAAAGTATTGTCACCGAAAATTATCCTATCCAAAAATGTAGGATAATTGTTAGAACGTTCAAGCAGCTAAAGGGAAATTGACATTTGGTTGGATTTTCGTTCAACGGACAACAATCAAGGGTCAAGTGTACCTGAAACTCGATGCGTGTCTACATACTCTATCAAAATTGTACGTACAGAGCCTTCAGAAATATTATACTCTGTTGAACAAGCTCGAAACGACCATTTTCGAGCACTTTTGCCCGCAGTTCTTCCACGTGACAAATGTGAGTTGCCGTTGAGGGTCGATTCCCATGCTCCTCATTTTTGACGAACTCCTGACCAGTTTTGAATCGTTTAACCCATTCAAAACAGTAGGAATATTTCATACAATGATCATGGTAAACTTTACTTAGTATATACCAAAAGTTCCGGTACAAGGTATGCCGAGTTTAAAACAAAATTTAATGTTGAATCTTTGCTCTATCAGTGATCGCATGACGAAAATCGCAAAACGCACCTGACTTACTCGTATTCAAGACGACACAGAAAAAACACTGATCAAAATAAACAAAATCTGTGAACGTAGCGATCTTTAGTATATTTTCAGCTATCAGGGAAGCTGAAGAAAACCTAATTCAGACGCATTGTGGGCTAATTATGACCAAAATTCGGTTTCTAATCTAACAGACCTCGTATTAAGAATGACAGGCATCCTTTAAAAGTACAGATCTTTCCTCGCAAAATAAATCAAGATACTTATCGGAGTGAAATCTGGAGTAAAATTGAAAGACCCATCTTACCCGTAACTTTTGGAAGATGCGGCTGGTTGCTGACCCATTTCCTGATCTCGTCGACATCTCTTCGCGTCTTTCTAGGATCTTGATAAAGCTCCTTCATACGACGCAATTGTGCATGGGACGGCTCATTAAGAAGTCTTATATTCTCTGTGAATACGATCCATACGTTGTAAAGCAGTGGTGATCATGCAAGTAGGCAATACTGTTTCCCCTCCATTTAAATCCGTTAAGAATATCGATTTTAGGCGAGGCAAGCCGCCTCACCAAGAATCGATTGTTTTACATACATGTAAATAGAGGAAAACAGTGTTGCCGACTCTTGAGAATCGCTATATTTGTAAAATACCTTTTCAGAGGATTAATTCTCTGAAAATATCATCTTTGAAATTGATTCCGAGGAAAAATGTTGAATGTAAAGTTAATTCAGGTGATTTAGGGAAAATATCCACCACAACATTGCGCTGTCACGAATCGGTGTCTTCGAGGAGCAATAATCATCGTTATTCAAAGTCAGGTGAGAAATTGAACCAAAACGTATTTATGATGAGGAGAGCTGAGGAGAAATTATGTAAGGCACTATGAAGTAGGTACACTGTATGTGCACAGAGCCTATTGATTCACCTGATTCTGTTTCCCATAGCTTCATTTAGCACGCAATTGCGTCCAATACTGATATACTGATATTCAATTTAAAAATATTCTTTGAAAATTTATGTCACATATTAGGGAGATGCCCGTTGCTCAGTGAAACAATTATGCCCTTTTTTTCAATGAACAACTTCTTTTACACTATCTTCATAAAGTCTTCTCAAATATAATGTCAAAGTACTCAGTATTTATGCCTGTACACGTTATCGTTCGGATTTTACCGCTAACTTTGAATTGTTGGAACTATGCTTTTGTTTTATATTTTTTACTAAAATTAACTTGTGCTAAAAATGTACAATTAGTGTAACTACGCAATACGTACTTCTGAATCTGATTTAGTGCAACTAATATGAATTTAAACTGACAATGGAAATATGTTAGTTTTATGCTGTGTCAGCTTGTTTGCACAGCTTCACTCCTGGTTGTCCCTTATTTTTCTTGGGAGAAGGGGGGGGGGAGAGGGGTGATGTACTTAGAAAAAATCTAAGTAAATAGTTCGAAATTATTTACCATGTTCCTGGCGATTTTTAAAAAAAATTGAAAACAATGGAGCCATTCCGGCACATGTGTCGATTGTGTCACCCTTCTCATGAACAACTGACTCCTCACCCCGAGACGAGCATTTTTAGTGCCCGAAACGTCTCATATCGAACAAATGATCTCAAAAGTAGAACAATTGATTTACAATTCCACTATTCACCAAGTTTACCCGCGAGATAAGGATGTTAAATCACCTTGAGAGCCTTGAAAAAGTTCATCAAAATTATTGAATAACTAGGGGGCTACGCCCCCTGGCCGCTACGCGGCCCAACCCCCCGAAGGCGCTCCGCGCCATCGATGGGCCGCTTCGCGGCCCTATTTTTACCCTCCTATCAGTGTTAGTTTTATTTTTCCCCTAAAAAATTACGATATGAGGTATACTTTAATTTTAAACTTTACTTAAAATTACTTTAAAATTAAAAGGACGCGCTTTGGAATGACTGCTTGATGAAATATTGCAGTAAAACAATGAACAATGATAGTCAGGTATTAATTAAGCATCTATGAGTCGGGGATCGGACCCACACCGTGATCTAAGTGGACGCAATAGACGTCTTACAATTAGACGATTCGGCCACCGCTCTACGTGAGATCGTTAGCACGAATCTTGTGTAGATAAGTGTAGAGCTGATGCGCAGGCTACACAGCTACTGCGCAACCTCCTCGACCACTGCGCATCCTCCCGCGCATAGCGGTAGCAGTACCGGAGCATTCTGTAAACTCACTCACTTTTATAACGTGATTTTAAAAAAACCTGGGTCCTTTTTCCAAAATCTGATTACAGCGGGCTCATTTAGGGCCTATTACCTGTCGATTTACGCAAAAATCATGGAAATCGGCCCGGTAGAACGCTCAAACGAACTATGACAAAAAGTATAAATTTACATTGTTTAAATGGGAGAATTCGCAACTTTACCACGTAATAGAAAAAAACCTGGGTCATATTTTGAAAATCCAAAAAGAGTTGGCTTATCTAGAGACAATTGTCCGTCGATAGCCGCAAAAATCATGAAAATCGGCCCGGTAGAACGCTGGAACTAAGCGTTACCAGTTTCGCAAAATTAGGAGGTCTTGGAGCTTATAGTATAGATAATTACCACAATTTTGGTGACACGTTAAATCGAATGCGCTCGCACCCATATCGAAAGAAAAATATTTTTATCAATGATAAATTGAGGATTAATTGGCAACTGTTCGGTAACCAGATGTAAAAAATTAGAATATACTTACCCGAAAGTGTTCCAGAATAAATCAGTATTTATTGCAAAGTCTCACTATTGCAACACTCTACGTTGTGGAATTATAAATACAGCCCCTCTTTCAAAATTCAAATGTTATCGAACCATTAACGTTTAACTCTTACGTCAACAAACATCATTTACTACCTTTGTGTTACCACATTTCAAAATGATATCAGGATCGAATTTATGGGGTGGCCACATGGGCCGCGGCTCATGGCGGCAAATTTTGCAATTTTTTAAATGTGGGTATAAAGAAAAATCGGATTCAGAAAATAAATTATAAACGAGAAAAGGCGACAAAATCTCTCATTTTTCTAAGAGTAAAGTAATTTCTAATTTTGTCGTCTTTCGGTGATACAAGAGACAGCACCTTTAATTAGGAGAGTTAAGAGAGAAATCAAACTCGCAATTTGGCCTGGAGGGGCGCAGAGAGCAATGATGACGAGGACTTGATATGAAAAAGAGAAGCCCTCGGCACGAGCGGCCGGCATGTAACAATTGTAACACATTAGCGCCTACAAGACTGCATGAATACTTCACGCATTACGTCAAACACAATGCGCTCAACTCAGCATTCGGCGCAAAACGCATAGCGCCCACAAGACTGTAGGGATACTTCACGCATTGCGCCAAACACAGGGCGGTCAGCGTAGCGTGGCGGCGGACTTTTAAATTATTAAAGCACATTTATTTTTGTTCTTCCGTAATTTTTTCATTCATTTCTAATAAATGGAAGGCCTTGTCTACACAGAGATAGGTTTACGGAACTTAACTTTCACGCAAAGTTCCGGGAACTTTTGCTAGTAGTGTTGACAGGGCGTTCGCAAAAAATGATCCCAACACGAGTAAACTTGTCTAATGCACCCTTCCCCCTCTGGCACGATTACTTGATGGTTTTCATATTGATGTTTCAAAACGAATGAGAAGGGGGCGGTATAATACAGGCGGCCCACGGGCGGAAGCAGGTAAATCAGGCCTTGAATGATACACATATTTTCAATAGGCCTGATGTAAAAGCTGGAGCTGGAGGAAAAATAAGAGTCAATTCTTACAAAAACGGCTGGAAAATCACGATGAGCGCTTTAGAAAAGTCTGAAATACACCCCCAACGTCATAATCTGCGTAAGAAATATGCGTATTTTTAAGCTTCACAATTCAAAAACTATACTACGACTCAGGTGAACAATCGTGAGAGGTGTTGTTCCATGCAACCCTTCGGCACTAGGATGCCAAACAATATTCACCATGTCTACGCTTTTGCAAGTGAACCGTGCGGAAGCACCATGGATGGTCCTCATCAACGCAAGGAAAATGTAAACATTTACGAGGGGCACATATAACATAAACGTATTTACGCCGGTTGATAAAACCCCTTCTCCTCACGTTTGTTTTGGCGGGTTGGCATCGGTCATGCTGAATATTGCGTAGCATCCTAGCGCTAATCGTGATTTTCAGGCCATTTTCTAAAAGAAACAACTCTTCTTTTTGCTCTAGCCGAAGTTTTCAACGGGATCATTCATTCCATGCACAATATTTATGAGTGTCGTCTCCAAATTTTTGCGCGTTTTTTTTTTTTTTTTTCAATCCAAAACCAATCATTTTTCAAAGCAGACGGCATTCAGAAGAAAAACATTCCTATAATCAATCAAGGCACCAGTTTTAGGATTCACATCATGCGTCAAAAAATTCTTAATTGAGTTTTAGCCTAATTCATCATTTTACGTCATTGGCCTCCTCCCCCGTATTCTTATCTAACTTCCCAGCTGTCTCCTGTGGCTTTTAAAAAAAAGTCGTTGGTATTTAAAGAAAAAAACTTTATTAGCGTCCCGCGTCGTGATAAATTGGTTTAAAACGAAATTAGGAGTTTCCTGACTTATGAGTTCTGAAAATGGCGCCAAAATTGAATGCAGGAAAGCCTTTGGTCAATGTAAACTCCTCTGTAGTTGTATTCGAAACTTATTCATCACATTTATCGTGCGTCTTGCGGCAGACTGGTAAAAACGGTCCGTTTACTCGGAGTGGCTAAATCGGGTCTCGTTTTTCAACTTTTTTCCTAAATCTGAGCGACGCCCCCATTGGTAGTACAGAGCGGAAAATTACGAGTTCACGCCCCGTGCCATGGCGCCTTCAATTTTGTAGATGCAACACGGACATCCATCAAGCACGAATAGTTGTATCTTTTCGCCGTCATCAACGCGCGCTCTTTCTCTTGTTGGTTTCAATTTTGTGTCCGTTTCTTTCGTCTTAATTGTAGTGATGCCTCAAGGGCCACGTAAGCAACCAAGCCGAGGATCATGAATATTTGATCGGGCCTCAAGAAAACGATTCGCACAACCGAAATTTGTAAATCAACTAAGAGGCGAGATATTAACGTGTATAGTCTACTACGACTATAGGCCGAAGTGAATGACTTTGAACAGTGGTGAAACACACAACCCTTAAGAAAACTATGTATTGTAATAGAGAAGGGGATTCACTAGGAGTCCGTTTAACTTCGAATCATATGAACTCAACGATCTAGAAACTATAGACAGATCCTATGCTACGCCAATGGTGGATTTCGTAACACACCAGGAGCAACAATTAGGTTAGGACAACGTTAATCGGTTTCCACGGCTTCTTATGGGACTGTTGCTAAACAATGACTTACATGAAATTCGCAACCAACTGTTTGAAAATCTGTGTCCAGATATGAAGCCTAGCCATTCTTCAAGTGAATTTACGATTAAAATTTCAACGCTAAATTATTTATTGTGAAAACTCCCGTAAGATCCCATGTATTTGAGGTTATGATGAAGATAGCAATTGGCTATTTCCACTCCCCGCTCACCTATCGAACGACCGGTCCGTTACGTTTTTTGGTTACGTGGCTACCACCAATCTCCAGTTTCTGGATCATTGAATGAACTGCACGAAATTTTTATTCACAATGAATGGGGCATAATGTATAAAGTGGGTTTAGTAGTTAAATGAACTCCCACATTTTGAACAGTGTAAGAGCCGACGACGGAGAGGTAAAATACTCCCCGCGAGTCTCAATTGATCGTTTTCAATAACCTTTACTAAAATTAAAACTGAGAGTGTGCCTGAACCGTATTTAAATTTGGATTTTAGAATATCTTGAACAGTTCTGGAACGAGAGCGAAACGCGCTATACTTTATGAATGACACTCGAAATTGTCGCACGTCACTTTTAAAACTTACGATTAATTCATGCGTCATGATGCTTCTTTATTGAAAATTAAATTAAAATTGATCATTATAGAGAATAACTTAAATAATTACAAAACTTGAAAAACCGCAACGTACCGCAGGATGAATTGAATTTTAACTGTTGAACTAGTGATGGATCTTTCCGGTGGAGTTCAACACAGGTCGGTTAACTGATTTCCCGCAAAATTGAATTCGAGTTAGGTGTTGGGGAGCGGCTCGGATTTCAAGTGCACGCGCTTGATCTTAATAATTTCGAGGACGTCCGTCACGTCGTGTTTGTGTTTAATTTCCAGCTAATCTAGGATGTTGCCAAATTTACTACCTTTTTTACAGGTGTGACAGATTACGAAATAGGTTCCGTTATGAGGTGTTCATAAAACCGATGTCGAAAATTTTTTTCCTTAGAAAATTATTAATACCAATTATTGCTTGAAATCTGCATATTTCAGAGCGATGGTAGGAATTTTCATTTTTTTTTTCCTGCTTGAGCTTTTTAGTTTAATGTTTGGTTCTGAAGACCGTCGTAAGACCTTAATTTGTGATTTTGCTGATTTCATTGCTATATTTTGTTAAGAGAGATAAAATTTGGAGATTTGTTTCCTTTTTTCTTCCGTACCTGTTTTTTTTTTTTTTTTTTTTTTTTTTTTTTTTAATTTTTACCGATATTGGAATTCAATTTAAAAACAGTTTCAATTTTATATCTCCCATGATCTCCTTCTATACAGGGTGTTTCAGACCACCCGTACCAGACCTTTTTCTCGGTTGGGATAGGTCGAACGAAGTCGGAGACCGCGGGGTTGAATAGGGAATTGACCCCAAGGGATCCGAATTTTTTGGTCTCGAAACCCCCCCACCTCCCTTGGGGGGTAAAGGGGGGGTCACGATGCTAAAAGTCACGGTTTCTGACCGAATTGCGGATAGATCGCATCAGAATTGAAAAGCACGGAAAATTTCACGTGAAATTGACCCCTAAAAATCCAAAATTGGACCATCCAAGGCCCAAAAATGACTCCCTAAAGGGGGGGCCAGTATCCCCCTCCATAATTTCTCTTTGGTCTCAAAATTGACGTAGATTCTCCAGAAAAAGACGGTTTCCCAGGTAATCGACCTCGAGAAATCCAAATTTCATGGTCCCGAAGCCCCTCTAGCACCCCTTGGGGGGTAAACGGGGGGTGCCCAATTTTAAAAATTGGAGCTCCTTTCCGTATTGCAACTTGATTGCATTCAAATTGAGGAGCAGAGCACATTTACATCTTAAGTGACTCCTAAGAGTTCTAATCGGACTACATTTTGCAATTTGGAACTATAAAGTCTAGCCTAGTTTAAAAACAACGTATGTGCCGATCGTTTCCCTGTGCACGTACGTGTTTTTCCAGAAGAGCCAGAATTTATAGTTCCAAATTGCAAAATGCAGTCCAATTGACCCTCCTGTCTCCTGAACGGCAGAAAGTAACCCCCTGAGGAAGGGGGCCTCGCCCCCGCCAAAAATTTCTCAGGATTCCTCTTTGGTCGCAAAAATGACGTCGATTCTCCAGAAAAAGACGGTCTCCCGTGTAATGGACCCCGAGAACTCTAAATTTCATGTTCCCTGAGCTTCTCTAAAATTGTGCAAATATTTGTATTAATTTTAGCGAACAAAACACAAAATCTGTGAAATTTGTAAAAGTAAAAATATAAATAAAAATTAGGAACGGGATACTGTAAAACTATAATAGTTAGCCGAGTTTCCAAACAGCCTTGCAAAATCATGGCAACATTGCGAGGCTTATCAGTCTTGAAACCGGATTGCCGTATGTCTTGGTTCACGGCATCATATAGATTTCCTGTCATAAGTGCTGCTTCAACCAGAATCGGCCTAACTTCATTTCAAGTTGCCTAATTTACCCGCACACTTTATTTTTGGTGCTGGAATTCAACATTATGCCTCGAACTTTAATGATTATATCTGTCAAAATGATGCAAGAATATTTTTAAAGCATTATTTTGCTTGATTTCCGCTTGAAAGAACAAAACATGAGAGAAAATTCAGAGTCCTGAAATTTGTATTCCGGCTGATGCTGGACGAAAGCCTTCTATGTTACACTCGTTTGTACATTTGGTACATTTCATTGTACAAAATTTTGTGCTTTTTTTTTATTCGGCTATTCAAGAGGAAAACCTATGCCACACGCATCCAAATTCAAATTCACCTCCCTCCAAACATCCATCCGTTAAGTTCTGACGATCCAAAAGTAATTACCAAAATTTTAAAGCTCTTCAAGAGAGTTAATTTAAAAATGTAAGGCAAATTCCTGGTCCCCTACGTAAATAGCCTAACTGCTGATCGTCGTAATAATTTAACTAACCAACTAATTTTTGAAAATTTCGTTTGAAAATATTTCGTTCGAATCATAAAATAGGAGCAGAAATTTTGGAACAGCATATGATGATTTTCATTATGTCTATTCGACGAACTTCTCGCGTGAGTTCCAACTTGATTCAAGGATTCTCGATAGAACCTTCTTTTCTATTCATTTTGCAGAGAAACATTTTATATCATTGAATGCTTCTAAAATCGGATTCAAGCTTAGAAAATCTCATAGAATTGTGAACGTGACTGATAAGTCTGTTTAGAGTCATCTTCACAGCCGTCTTTAGCCTAAGTCCCTGAGTGAGGGTAGATGACTGAACGCATTACCCGAATGGAGAGTACAACTTTAGTTCATATGAAACACTAAATTTTTCAGTCCAGTTAATCGAAAATTTTGGTCAAAAGGACCGAGCTCAGCTCAGGTAAGTAAGTAAGGTAAGCACTTACGCTTACGGTTTCAGGACATTTTGTCTAAGATTTTTTGTGTGCGCACCTTTTTTGTCCAGTAGTTTACGCCCACACGTAAATTAAGCAACAGTGACTTGGTCCAAGCGTTTTATTTTAGTCGGTATGTAAAATTATACTGACAATATGGAAATGAGAAATTGAGAGGGAAGGAGGTGTTGTCATGGTTGCTCATTTTCTAAATGAAATGTTACTTTCTCCTTTTGAATCATCTTTTTAAATTGTCATTGGTGAATATTTGGTTTTATTTCTATCCTTAAAATATTCGATGTACAATATACCTTATACATGTATAGCTACTTTTTTTATTTTTTTAATTTTTTCTTTACGAAATTATTACTTCATTTTGAAAACGTTTATATTTTTTAAACGTGACAAATATTTGTAAAACCTTTTCCAAACGACCGCAGTTGTGCCGAAAGAAACTGCAAAAATGAATAAAAGAGGGGAAAAAACCAAGAAGCACACAATCTTCAGTTTTAATCCATTTGTACATTCATCTTTTAGAGTCCAATACTTCAAATTTTGAGCGTTTGGTTGCGCGTACACCTCGCTGCAGCACAATAAAAGCACAACATGTAAAAGAAAAAATTAAAGTGCTTTGGAAATCATTAAAGAGGGTTATGCAAAACGGCCAAAAAGTGACCCCGCGGGGATTGTACGAAACTTTGTGGGATGATTGTATAGGTCATTTTGGGCCTGCACCTGGCTGCTTTTAGGCGAAAACCGCAGGGAAACCGCGTTGCCATTTTTTAAAGTCGTAACCTTCAAACACCCATAACTTTCGCAAAAATGCAGTTACAGAGCTCGTATTTATACCAAAAAATGCGGAAAATTTTGTTCTATCGACCAACGCAAAGGAAATTTTTATTCGAGTCCACTGTTGCCACGTTTTGGCCATTTTTTTAATTTTCATAATGATTAAAAATCACGTTTTCGCCTAAAAGTGTGTTTGCAGTTGGTGGGGATTGAATAAAAACCTGTCGGAATTATTGTTCGTTCAATTTCGCATCCATTGATATGTTATACTTTTCTGAGAGGCTTAGGGAATCCAAGTTACAGCGATTTAAAAATTCGGCAACACGCCCGACGCCCGATTTTGACGCTCGTTAAGGTACGTTTCGCGACTCCGTGTTGAAGGAGAACGCCTAAATAAAACAAAATTCGAAGAGCCAGTTCATGTTTTACGCTTTTTTGAAACTTTCACGTCATTTTTAGAAATTCAAGTAGCGGCGGTGTTGCCGGTTTTCGATATTGTATCGAGATCAAGATCGATGGATCTAGGTCCCTTTCCAAAACTAATCATCAGACCGCTCGGGTGATTCGGTAGCCTTAAATTTCGATACCTCGTTATTGTCGGACACCAGTGCCGTTGCAAAGAGATAGAAGAAACCATCGATTCGATAAATCGACAATTCCAACTACAGAATAAGGCTGGACGTGATTTAATGAGTGATACATTTTTTTTGTGATTGCGGCGGCGGTTTCCTTGAAAACTGGCAACCCCGCCTCTACGCGAATTCCGACGGAAATTAGGCGACGTTGTTAACATCATGTCGCAAATGGTCAGTTTAGGATAAACTATGTAGCTAGACGTGATTAAATGAGTGCTACTTTCAATTGTGATCGCAGCGGTGGTTTTCATTGAGAACCGGCAACACCTACTTGAATTTCTAAAAATGACGTGAAAGTTTCAAAAAAGCGTAAAACATGAACTGGCTCTTCGAATTTTGTTTTATCTAGGCGTTCTCCTTCAACACGGAGTCGCGAAACGTACCTTAACGAGCGTCAAAATCGGGCGTCGGGCGTGTTGCCGAATTTTTAAATCGCTGTAACTTGGATTCCCTAAGCCTCTCAGAAAAGTATAACATATCAATAGATGCGAAATTGAACGAACAATAATTCCGACAGGTTTTTATTCAATCCCCACCAACTGCAAACACACTTTTAGGCGAAAACGTGATTTTTAATCATTATGAAAATTAAAAAAATGGCCAAAACGTGGCAACAGTGGACTCGAATAAAAATTTCCTTTGCGTTGGTCGATAGAACAAAATTTTCCGCATTTTTTGGTATAAATACGAGCTCTGTAACTGCATTTTTGCGAAAGTTATGGGTGTTTGAAGGTTACGACTTTAAAAAATGGCAACGCTGTTTCCCTGCGGTTTTCGCTTAAAAGCAGCCAGATGCGGGCCCAAAATGACCTATACAATCATCCCACAAAGTTTCGTACAATCCCCGCGGGGTCACTTTTTGGCCGTTTTGCATAACCCTCTTTGACACGGAACCACCAATATTTAAAAAACACACATTATATTATTATTCTCCTTTGATAATGTGATGCATATTTTTTTTTTTTTTCATCAACTTAAATGAGAATAATCAATGCAGAGTGTGCAAACATTTCAAAATCATGAGT